GGATACCGGGGGCCTTACAATCCATCCCCATAAGGCTGCACGTCCCCGTGCAGTAGCCTGCCAGCTCGCAAGCCCACCCACATGCACCGAGAGACGCCAGGGGCCCACACTTGGTACTCCGGAGAGCCGGCTCTGATACCATTTGTAACGCCCCGACCCTTTACACGTCATCAATATTGTCCGCTTTGGGCCACGCCCGTACGGATTTGTTCTTCCCAGTGGGTCACCCATTATAGAATTACTCCAGCCTAAGCACGCTTAACTGGGGAGTTCTAATAGGGATTTGACCACTTGAGAAAAGGCCTCGATGCTATATAAGGGTCCAGGTTTTTACTTTTATAGCCCAGGAACTCCCCCTCCATTCCTGATGTGGGACACCGGAGCCTTACAATCCACCCCCCATAAGGCTGCACACCCCCGTGCAGTAGCCTGCCAGCTCGCAAGCCCGCTCACATGCACCGAGAAACGCCAGGGGCCCACACTCGGTACTCCGGAGAGTCGGCTCTGATACCATTTGTAACGCCCCGACCCTTTACACGTCATCGATATTGTCCGCTTTGGGCCACGCCCGCACGGATTTGTTCTTCCCAGTGGGTCACCCATCATAGAATTACTCAAGCCTAAGCACGCTTAACTAGGGAGTTCTAATAGGGATTTAACCACTTGGGAAAAGGCCTCGATGCTATATAAGGGTCCAGGTTTTTACTTTTATAGCCCAGGAACTCCCCCTCCATTCCCGATGTGGGACACCGGGGCCTTACATAGAGCATCTCTAATAGTTTGTCATTAGAGTTGCCAAAGCTATAATATAGCAGCTTTGAGGAAAAAGGATTTTCTAATTGTGAGATATAACAGCTATTAAAAATGACAAATGCCAAAGTTGTTGCCAAGTTTGACAACAACTTTGGCAAATGGCAAATCTACCAGCTTACTCAAAACCAACTGATTTTCTTCCTTCTCTCCCTTTCTTTCTCATCCGTTTGTAGAAATAGTCGAACAAAAAAAAAATCAATTTTTTCATTTTGCGAAATTCACAAATTTTTTTTTGTTTTTTACAACAATTTTGTTTGTAAACAAAATTTCACTAAAACAACAACAACAACAACAACATTCAAGCAAAAATTTTCAAACAACAACAACAACAACATTCAACAAAATCAAAAAATTTCTCAGCCAAAAATCAATTCTTTTGTATCTTCATTAGGATCGAAAAGATTTGATTTTTACTCTAATAGATTGATATAAAAAAATAAAAAATAAATATATCATACCTTGATCGGTTACTAAAATCGAGAGTCTTAATCGGTGACTGAAACCGAGAGTTGATCGGTGACTGAAACCGAGAGTTAATCGGTGACTGAAACCGAGAGTTGATCGGTGATCGATGATCGATAATTGAAAGATATATATATATATATAGAGAGAGAGAGAGGGAGAGAGGGTTTAATCGATGGAGAGTGACAGAGAGAGATGGAAAGAGATATAGATCGGTGACTGAAACCAAGCTTCGGCTTCATCGATGGAGACAGAGAGAGATATAGAGAGAGGGGGGGTTTAAGGGATGAAGCGAAAGAGGGTTGGAAATGATGAAAATTCATCAAAAGAGGATTAGAGATGAGAGAAAGAAGGTCAGAGTAAGGGAGACAGAGGCAGTACTTGCTACTCTGCAATGGAGAGAGGAGAGAGTTGATATCTGAGAGAGAGAGAGAGACGAAGACTGAGAGGGAGAGGGAGGACAAAATAGTAAGAGAGACAGTGAAAGGGAGAGGAATAAAAGGCTGGATGATTCTACACAAATCATTTCAACCGTTGATGACCAACACGTAGACGGTGGTGATGAAACCAAATAGAGCCGTTGTGCTCTGTTTGGCTAAAAATAAAAATAAAAATAAAAACAAACACCAGCTTGTGTCAAACGGTCATCTCTTCAAACGGCTATTATATTGAAATGACAATATTTTGAATTTTTATAAATAGAAACTCTTCGTCTCAACTTTATTTCACAACAGCCATTGCACATTTCATTTTTCTTTTCTCCTCTCTTCATCTTAATTTGATTTCACAATAAACTTTTGAAATTATATTCTTTTTAGTTTTTTTCACACAATCACTATGGAAGTTTCATCATAAACAAAGAGAGGAAAATCTTTCAATACTAAAGAAAATGTGGCAATTTGTAGAGCTTGATGTCACATTACTGAAGACTCAATTGTTGAGAATTTGCAATCTCATGATCATTTTTAGGAAAGAATTTTTAAAAATTATTGCTCAATGCAAATTGATCACTCAAGAACACAAGTGTCAATCTCATCTCGATGGGGTGTAATCATGAAATATTGCAACAAATTTTGTGGATATTTGGCATAAGTCGAAAATCTACACCCAAGTGGAATATCTTTATGTTAGTTTATTTATTTTGTCTTATTTAAAAATGAACTAATTAATTAATGTAATAATTTATTGATACAAATGCTTCAAGCAAAACTGTTATACCACTGGCCAATCTTACAAAATAATATTAGATGGCAAGATGCAGCTCCTACAAACACAGTGAAGTCAAGGATACATACACCATTTTCCCCTAATTCAGCCGTCGATTCTCTTGTGGATAACTGCATTTCTCTTGAAGATGACACCAGTCCAATTGTTGATAACAATCCAATTGTTGATAACAATCCAATTGTTGGTGAGGATAGTGTCTCTGCAAGGGGTAAAAGGCCTATGGGTAGAAAAGCTGAAAAAAAATTATTTCAGAGAAATCAAGTCGTTGAAGCTGAAGTCCAAAAAATGAGCATAGAATTGGAGACATTTAACCAACACCTTGCTGAGAAAGAAAAGAAAAAAGATGAAAGAGAAAAAAAAAAAAAAAGGGATTCAAGCACTGTAAGAGTTGAAAGAACTTAAGATGAAAAAACATGACTTTGAAATCAGAAGACAAGAACATGAGATGAAAAAGGAAGAACATATGATAATGACTACGGATATTTCTCATTTGGGTCCTTAGATAAAAGCATATTATACAATGCGAAAAAATGAAATTTTTGCCAAGCGGTCCTCAAATGTTAGCAGCCCAAATTACTATTTCCCCCAGCCTCCTGATGAATAATTACGGGATAATGTAATGTCATTTTTTTATTTTGTAATGAAATTTCATTTTTTTTTTAAGTTTTGAGTATTTTCTAGAAAAGAATGTAATATTATTTTTGCAATGTATAATGTTGACTATTTTGTAGTATAATTTAAAATTTTCAATAAAGTATAATGAAAAAATAAATACATTTTTTGAAATGAAGGCAATAAAAAGATGAATATTAGGTGAATAATGCATGATTGTTGGTGGATAATTAGTGATTGTTTATTTTTTATATGTAGTTAAAAAAAATTATTAAATATGTAGTGATATGCTTTTTGGTGGGGTGAATTATATTTATTTTTTTTTTCTAATTTTTCAATATTTTTCATTTTTTATATTTGTCTAGTCGGGAATAATACAAATATATAATTTTGTTTTTACAAATAGTTAAATAGTTAAAAAAAAAAAAGGTCACAAAAGACAAAAAATAAACAAAAATAAAATCACAAAAAAAACTTATATCCAAACAACACTTACAAACTTGGAGGGAAAGTTGGTTGAGATTTGCCAAAATAACAAATGACCATTGGATCACCATAGCTATAATTTGGCAAAATAACACTATTCATTGCCAAACTATAGCAATAACAATGGCATTATAGCAACAACCATTGGAGATGCTCTTGTGGTGTATTATTTTTGTTATTAATCGAAAAAGTCTTTGCTAATTTCTTATGTTTTTTTGTTATGTCTAAAGTGGTGTGGGGTGAATTATATTTAATTTTTTTTTTCTAATTTTTTTTTTATGCTTCCACTCCAGAATCCACCGAAGCTTCAGGCTCGAATTCTTCAGAATCCACCGAAGAACAACTCTCTCTCTCTCTCTCTCTCTCTCTCTCTAGTAAATAAAACCTTTGATGTACTCTCTTTAAACCATGAGTTGAATACTCAATAAAACATCAAAGAAAACTAACAAAATATCCCCAGATATAAACCTTAAGAACCAAAAAGAAGATCTGGAGGAATTAAATATTTTTGGGAGAAAACCAACTATTTATAGAAAATCCAAAAGTAATCCTAGTTTTGGAAGAAATCCAATTACTTATAGAAATCCAAAAGTAATCTTA